GGGTGTGACTAGTAATTGGGCCAGAACTGGGCCTAGGCAAAATTTTGCATATTGGACTCATTTTGCTCCTAATTTTTCATAGATTTGATTTAGCTAGGTCTCATCATCATATGATGAACCTAACTAAACCAAATCAAATATTTTTGAATTAATTCATGGAGTAATTTTGAGCCAAGGCCGCCTAGCCTTTCTTCCTTGTTCATGGCCGAAATTCAGTCTTCCTTCTAGTTTTGAAGCTTCTCCTCCAAGTTTCTAAACCTTGGTAGGTTAGGTTGACCTTACCATGGTTCTTAAGTGAACCATGGTCAAGGTTAGCTTCTCCTACAAGTTTTAGAAACCATGGATGGTTAGCTACACCTTACCATGGTTCCTAGTGAACCATGGTCAAGGTTAGCTTCTCCTAGAAGCTAACTCTCCCTATATATTTGTTTTCTCTACACTTGTACTCACTTTTGAACATTTTGAGAATAGAAATCAGATTTTCTCTCTCACTCAAGAGTCTCCAAAACCGAAGAGAACTCACACTCTAAGGTTTCTCTCAAAGGTTCTTCTACCTTTGACTTGGTTCCTTAAGCTTCATATGCAAGCTAAGGAAACCCGAACCACTTCAAGGCCTCTTCTCCATTGAAGAACACTTCGTGGAGCTTCAAAGAGTCTTTGGAAGATTTGCCTCAAGAGTATTCACGGTCCTAAGCATGGAGTACTTGAAGAACAACAATCTTCTCCAAGTGAGTTCCATCAGCTTCCGTATAGGAGGGAACTGGATGCAATCATCATTAATGAAGTTTGTTTGCAGAAAATTTTCCTGAGAAATTTCTTGCGAAAAAAATTTGCAGGAAAGTTTCCTGCAAAAAAAAAATATGCACGAAAATTCACAAGAAAGTTTCCTACGGATTTTTTTACAAGAAATTCTGCAAGAATATTTTTTACGAAAAAAATTAAAGAAATTACTATAAATTCTATCAATAATTCTTCAACTTTCAAATGCTCACAATGAATTCATCCGAACATTTGTTTCCATGCCTCCAGCATGTGATACATAATTTTTTAAATTCTAAGATTGTAGATTATAAGTTTAACACTTAACCATACAAATCAACTTGTAAGGTAAGTGTTACCCCAACTTATATACTCTTTAATTATTTTATTTTCAATTGATGTGGGACTTGAAATTAAAATAGATGGGAAATTATAAGAAAACAATAAGATACATATGAAAACCAAAAGAAAGAATAAAGGAAGTATGTGAAAAAGAAAAAAATAGTAAATTGAAAGTTGGAGATGTAAAATTAAAAAATTAAAGAATAAAAATTATGAATATTTTAATAATTTCTATTTTTAAAAAAATAAAGGAAGATTATATATCATGAACCAAATTAATATTTAAGTTTGGACATGAATCCTAGTCCAAAACAAAACAACTTGTTGAGAGTGGGATTTGAACCCACGCCCTTTCGGACCAGAACCTTAATCTGGCGCCTTAGACCAACTCGGCCATCTCAACTTCTATATTCGGAATGCGTAAAGAATAATATATAAACTATAGATAAAAAAACAATAAGAAAATAAAATTGGTAAATGTTGAGAGTGGGATTTGAACCCACGCCCTTTCGGACCAGAACCTTAATCTGGCGCCTTAGACCAACTCGGCCATCTCAACAGTTTTATGACAAAAATAATCATTTTATATTTATAAGTGTTAACTGCATATTCATAACAGTTCTTTATCCATAGGCCTCCCTGAAAATTTAGAATTAAAATGTGCAGTTGAGTTTACCACTTAGTTTGGTGAATAATTTAACGACCTTAAACATTAGAGTTGACGTACCTCATTTTAAATGCATACCGATAGATTTCAAGTTGGATTTTTCACTGTCTACTCTGCCTCAGTTTACCATCTTCAACCGTTATTCAGATTCCTCATCTCAAAAATTTGTTATTCTTTTGTGCAAAGAGCAAATGAGAGAACAACAAATCTTAATTATAGAGTCACAATCAGTATTAAAAAGTAAAAACCCTCCCTTATCCACACGAGACAGTACACATTCTACAGAAATTTTCAAATACGTGATGCAGATGTGGACATAACATTACCAATCTAACTATTAACATTTACTACTTCATAACTAATTGAATTCTTAACCTATCCACTACCTGCGGTTGACACCAACCAAAAAGATAAAAGTAGTTGTTCCTTGCATTTATTTGGGAAAAACAAGTTGCCAAAAGGACATTTCTTTTTAAGAATTTAGACCAGTGCTGCAGAGTTATTTGATACCAGGCAAATTTTTCTATCTTATTTTCTTTTTGATTAAGACTATTTTCAAACTTCATAAAACATTTCAATAAAAGTTATTTCAATTAAAAATATATAACTGCATATCCAAGTTTTTAAAAATGAATATCTTTTGGGTTAGAATTTTATCCCATAATAAATAAAAGCATCTAAATACTTTTTCACAATGGCTTTCTTTCCCCGCTATTACCTCCATACTGCTTACCATAAACAAATGCTACCCTAATGGACCATGTGTATTATCTTTTCTTATGGATCATTCTGTGTCGTAACCGATTCCATAATCTATACAATTTTAAAATCATTACATAAAAATGTTAACCTTGCAGAGGCTACAAAATGAAGTGTCAGGCAGTAAACGAAGTAAATAGTAACAGAATGAGGAATTGGACGAAACAAAATAAATGTCACAAGATACCCATAAACCAAAATATCTGCCAAAATAATTTTAAGGGTCCATCATAGGGCCGGCTTTTGGTTCTAGCTCGGCGTATACAGAGGGGACACCTTCCTTGGAACGATCTCTTCGATTTGCTCGGATGACAAAATGGATGTCTCGCTTTCATAATCGCCATTTTCCATCTGCTGGTGTAACTGGCAGAAGAAAAGCCAAATGCATCTAATGAAATTCATTTTCTGCTACTTTTTAAGTACATAATTTTCAAAGCATTTTTATCATTCAGATGAATTAGCCGAACTACAGGGACGAAAGTAGTAGCATTAGAAGACTGCTTAGAAGTTTTCAAATGAAATACTAATCCTATTGACAATCATGCTTACATTCAAATAATATTTTAAGACCCACTAGCAGCAGTGCTTGTAAACTATTACATTAGTATATAGGTGTTGCTGATGCTAACAAAATGTTGTAAAATAAAAGTAATTAAATCTCAGAGTTGGTCTTTCATTGACTACCCTACCACTGTTATGTTTTCTTGTTGGAACCAAAAGATGTGAAATGAATCCCCATGTACTTTGAAAGAGTATTTACCTTCTCAAGGATGGCAGATTGATCATCCAAGTGAAACTTGCGCATGTACTTCAGCATCTCTAGTTGCTGTGAAGTTTTACACTTCATATATTAGCAGTGTACACAAGTACCACGGAATTCATCCGAATTTAAATTTTACCTGTTCCTGTAATTGTTGTTGATACAGCATTTTTTCTGCAAATTCTTCTTCTCCAAGCTCTGCTTCATCACATGCCACCTCTTCTCTGCGAATTCATAGTATAAGGTCATTTTGCATTACATAACTGTTTATTAACCCTTCTACGGTTCACCTAAAAGTATTTTATGTTGTCTAAGGGCAGAAGAAGAGGCAAGCATTAAATCGAAAAATAGACTTTAGTAGCTATGATTTTAATGTTTTTAATTACAAGTTTTGAACATAAAATAAATTAATTCAATCACACGGATGTGTAAAAGACAATCATAACTAAGTACAAGCAATGACATGGTCAAAATCTTTCCACCTAGTGCATGTTTGTTTCTGTTTATTTTTTGAGGAAAAAAATTATTTCAAAAGCATTTCACACTAATTCCAAGCTATACCAAAGTGTATGGGCTCCAAGAATGCAATTGCCATATTCCATAATTCCTCAAACATGGTGGAAACATCAAGCTAGTCCATTTACTCAGTGTTAGTATTGGACCCAAAAAAGGCAGAATGGTACTATAATAACTATACAGTCTGTATTATTAAAATTTTGAAATATAATCACTAAAATTTTGTATCTGATATCAATGTGTGCCTGAGACAAGTTACAGCAGAAAATGGCATAGAACTCTTTTCTTCTTTTGTGAAGAAAATAGAGATATCCCAGACTATTTGGGAGGCCTAGACATTCCTGCCCAATTCCTTCACTAATAAACTTCCTGCCCTCCATTTCCATGTAACCCACTCTGCACAGTTTTTTCTTTCTCCATCATGTGATCCATGTCTCCTAGTAGTTACTCCCCTTGCAAGTCGTGCTAACTTGGGGAGCTGATTCCCTGAATCTCTGTAACATAGTCCTAGTGTACACCTTAATAGATGGGTTTCAAATTATCAATTATTCAGTTGTTGCAAAGTCAATACAACTCAAAGCTAAGAAAGACATAGGCACAGAATGGTCATTTTCTAAATTAATTGTTCTAACAATTGAATAGAAAATATTAACAGGTAAAAGTGAGTGAAAATTACATATAAAAGAAACTGTGAACTTACTTTGAAAGGAATTTATAAAACTGAATCACCAACTCTTGGTCATTCTCGTATACAGTACTGACTTTTCCCAGGCATGAGATACCAAATCTTGGGTCTGTTGTATAAATTATATTATATTAATAATAATCCTTCAAAATAAAATACAACCTTGAAGCTCCATCCAGGGCTAACTGACTAAGAATAAATTCCAACATCCAAGCTATAATCCCAACATAGTTTTGGCAAAAATAAACTCGTAAACTGTTCTGCATCAACATGTCTAGAATGTTCACATAGAAGTATCACCCATCGTATTATCTAGTGTCAACTAATTTTCATCTCATGAACCAAGACTAAGAAGCAAATCATATATGACCATCAAGCGTCCGACACAATTTAATCCATTGTTTGATTCTCTTTTATTGCTAAAGAGTAAATACCCAATAATGCTTTAGATGCCTTTTGTATCTATGGAAAATTAAACTTTCAATCAGGGATGCATTGTCAAACACATACATATCCAATAATGGCATCCATGACATTGCTGCAGCCTACAGCAGAGATGAGTCTGAAGAATAAGCGTAATAATGGCACAAGTTAATGATATGAAAAATGAGGCAACAATGCGAAGTACAAACAACTAATATGTCACAATAAAAGAAACATACCAACACCCATCTCCAAAAATATCTCTTCCTGTATTGCAGTGGTCACAGCAACAGCTTCCTGCTCATCAGTTGTTATGAATCTCAGGAAATGACAGTGAAATGCATTATATACCAACTTTAATCTCATAAATAAAAGGGCAAAAGTATAATCTTACATCGACTAGTATGCACTTTGATTTTACATATCCAACATTTAAATAATTCTCTATATAAAATTAAAGCTCAACACATACATAAATGCTAATCAAAAAGGATATAAGGTGTACAACAATGTCTCGTGATTTTTGATGACTAAAAAAACTGGGTAACCACTGCACCAGACTCTCCACCTAGTGGATTCTGTGCAGGGATGTATATATTATATAACCTTACCCCAGCAAGCCTTCCAGAATTCAAACCTTCTAGCCTCATTTTTGCACCAAGACTCCCCTCTTTTCATGACTAATCATCAAATCATACCAAGAAGCACAGATAAAGGTTCTAATTATTTAGCTCAGTTGTCACGCTTTAATGAATTCAAACCAAAGGAAGAATTAACTACTGAAGAGACCAACAAGGAAACAAAGTCAAATTCTTTTTTTTGAACAAAATTTAGGTTTACTATATGCATTTGGCGTTGTTCTTCGATTAAAAAAAATCACTTCTATAACCAGCACAAAATTTAGGTTTAGTACACGATATATTCAAACTGTAATTTTAATTAGAAAAGTATTCAATTAACTACGTCCAAATTTTACCCAATTTCGTTTTCCCTCACAAGCCCATTAATGATTCTTAAAATCAGGAATGTTTCCAGTAACCAAATATCTAATACAATGAAATAGCAAAGTCACCTTACATCGAAGATAAAGTGTGCAATTTCAAACATAATATAAAAATAAAAAATAAAAAAAAAATAAGAAAAGGAAAGTGAAAAGGGGACGAACGACACCATAGAAACTCACCTGCTTATCCCGAACAGCCTCTGCAATCCTTTTCTTCACATCTGCAGATGACAAAATTCACTAAGTGCAAAATTCTAAGAAACTCGTAAAATAAAATCAATCAAATAGAATAACAAATATGCAAATCGATAATATAAGTACCAGGTTGAGAAGTCAGAAAAATAAAACGATCAAAAAGATGGGAAAGTTGCTCTCTGGTTAACATCCCAGTACTCTGCGTGCCAGATGCCATGAGCGCAGCTCACAAACCCAACAAAAGAAACAAACACGACCCACACTGTAACTTGGATGAAACAATTGATTATCCGTTTTATTTTATATTTTTCCTTAAATAATTACTTCGGGCACAAATTTTTCACAGTTCACCTTCAAAATCACAATAAGATTCCGTAAATAATTACCATTCACTTTTCACAAAAAATAAAAGGAATTTACGCAAAAACTAAATAATAGTATAATTTTTCTTTTAATCTGAACCCAACTTACTTACAAGAAGAACAAGAAGAAAAGGAACCCAAATAAACTGAAACTATACTTTATCATTCCTCAAGAAAAAAAATTCACAGCAAATAAAATAACATAAACCCACGACAGTAAAAGACCCACTAACAAATCTAATTAAGAACAGTAAAAATTAAAAATCTTCATCCATCTTGAACACGTGGATCCCATCATCCCCATTTAAGTTAGACATGACCGAAGCCTTCTGATACTCCCCCACGCGCTTCTCAAAGAAATTGGTCTTCCCCTGCAACGAAATCAGCTCCATCCAGTCAAAAGGGTTCTGAACATTGTACACCTTCCCGCAGCCAAGCGCAACCAACAAACGATCCGCCACAAACTCAATGTACTGACCCATCAACTCCCCATTCATCCCCAGCAACGCGCACGGAAGCGCGTCGCACACAAACTCCCTCTCGATATCCACAGCGTCCCTCACGATCTCCTTCACGCGCTCCTCGCTGAGCTTCTTCCTCAGCAGAGAGTACAAGAGGCAGGCGAAGTCGCAGTGAAGCCCCTCGTCGCGGGAAATGAGTTCGTTGGAGAAAGTGAGGCCAGGCATCAAGCCGCGCTTCTTGAGCCAGAAAATGGAGCAGAAGCTTCCAGAGAAGAAGATTCCCTCGACGCAGGCGAAGGCGACGATGCGCTCAGCGAAGGAGTCGGAGGAGTCGATCCAGCGCAGGGCCCATTGGGCCTTCTTGGCAACGCAGGGGATGGTTTCGATGGCGTGGAAGAGGTGGTGCTTCTCGTCGGAGCTCTTGATGTAGGTTTCGAGGAGGAGGCTGTACATCTCGGAGTGGATGTTCTCGATGGCGATTTGGAAGCCGTAGAAGGCGCGAGCCTCGGCGACTTGGATCTCCTTCATGAAGCGGCCGGCGAGATTCTCGAGGACGATGCCGTCGGAGGCGGCAAAGAAGGCGAGGACGTGGGTGACGAAGTGGCGTTCGCCGTCGGTGAGGGAGTCCCAGTGGCGGAGGTCCTGCGAGAGGTCGACCTCCTCCGCCGTCCAGAAAGAGGCTTCGGCTTTCTTGTACATTTCCCAGATTTGGGGGTACTGGATTGGGAACATGCAGAAGCGGTCGGGGTTGGGAGCGAGGAGAGGCTCTTCGGGGATTGAAGGCATTGTGAATGGAGAGAGTGGAGAAAGTGAGTTTGGGGTTTTGGTTGGGGTTTGATTTGAGTTTGAGCGAAGGGAGGGAGGAGTGAGGGGTTTATATAGGAGAAGAAGGGTGGGGGGGGGGGGAAGAAAATTGG